TTTTTTTCCATCCTTTAACTTTTAGTCTGTTTTTATCTTTGTGTGTAAGGTGTGTCTCTTGCAGGCAGCCTATTGAAGGGTCTTGTTTTCTTATCCATTCTGCCACTCTCTGTCTCTTCACTGGTGCATTAAATCCATTGACATTCAATGTATTATGGATAGGTATGAATTAATTGCTGCCATTATGTTAATTTTTTGGTAGTTCCTTTGTTCTGCATGCCTTCTTGTGCAGAGTTTGTGTTTTTGTGCTATTTCTTGTTGGTTTCTCCTTAGTTTTCATGTTTGCTGTTTTGCATGGAAGTTCATTTTCATGGTAAGTTGTGAATTATTAACTTTCTTTGGGGTCACCTTATAGTCTATTAACTCTTCCCTCCATTTAAGACAATCTATTGTATCCTATAATCTACCTGACCTCCTCAACATCCGGATCTCTGTTCCTACATTTTTCGCTTCTTTGACATTGTTATTATTTTGATCTTTGGTTGACCTCCCAGCTCCTTTGAATTCGTTGTTGTAATTTTGTTCTGTTCTGGACTCTGCTATCTGTCGTCTGAGTTTCAGGTGGTGTTGCCACACCTGTCAATCTATGGTTGTTTTTTGTTCTTGTTGGTTTTCAGTCCAAAGAACTCCCTTTAGGATGTTTTGAAGCACTGGATTGGCTTTGATAAAATCTCCTAGCTTCTGTTTATCCTAGAATGTTTTGATTGCACAACTGTATTTAATTGACAGTTTTGCTGGATAGATGATTCTTGGTTGGCAGTTTTTTTTCTTTTAGGATTTTGTATATGTCTTCCCATTGCCTTCTTGTCTGCATGGTTTCTGCTGAATAGTCAGAGCTTAATCTGATTTGCTTGCCTTTGTAAGTAACATTTATCTTTTCCCAGGCTGCTTTTAGGATTCTGTCCTTTTCTGTGATTTTGGAGAGCTTGATTATTATGTCTTGGTGATTTTCTTTTGGGGGCCTATCCTTCCTGGGGTACATTCGGCTTCTTGAATGTTTATCTTCTCATCTTTCAAGATGTTAGGAAAATTTTCTTCCAAAGGCTCTTCAACTATCTCCTCTGTGAACTTCTCTGATTCTTCCTGTTCTGCAATGTCAGTAATTCTTAAATTGTTCCTCTTCATGTTATCCAGCATGAATCTAAGACTCTCTTCAGATTGTTTTATTATTTTTTCTGCGTGTTCTTCTATCTTAGCAGTATTGAAAGATTTGTCTTCCAGCTCGCTGGTTCTGGCTTCCATCTCTAAAATTCTGCTCCTTTCCCCTATCAGTGTATTGTCCATTACTGGTATTTTATTATTAATCATCTGGACCTCTTTTTGCAGGTTTTGAATTGTTTCCAATGCTGCATCAATATTGTTTGATTGCTCTTGTAGTAATTTCCTGACTTCTTCCTTGTGTTCCTCCACCCCTTTTTGGAGCATTTGAATTTGTTTCAATATCATTTTTCTGAATATCTTCTCAGGAAAATCCAAAACCTGCTCTTCCTCTTCAGGAAAGCCTTTGCCTGTCTCCAGCTCATTTGTCTCAGCTACTCTTTTTTGTTTTGGGACATGTTTTGATATCTTTTGTTGTGTTTTGTTGGTCATTTCTAGTAGTTATGTGGGTTTTTAATGCTTAAATGGATGTGTGTTGCTGTGTTATTAAGCTGTGTGTCTCCTGGTGGATATGATTAGGAGATAGGCTTCCCTTTTTGCATGTAATGCTTAGCAGCTGTTATTGGCTCTTGTCTCAATGTTGGAATATTATGGGGTATGCTTGTAGCTTGGCTATATGGCCACGATTGCTGACTCTTCTTGAGTAACGTAGGGAGAAAAAGTTCCCACCTCCAGGAAAAATGTGTGATCAAAAGGTCCAAAAGCAGAAGCAATATAAAAGCAGAAACAAAAACCACCACTTTGAAACAAAAATAACACTGTGGCTGACTGGCCCATTGCCTTGCTACACAGGCAGTGTGTGTGCACTGTAGAAGCCTCCAGTAGTGGGTGGGGGTGTCTACTCACTCAGACCCCTCCTCTAGTCACGACCATAGAGGTGCACAGATAGATACTGAGAAGTTAACGGGAGAAATATTGTCTACTATTTTTGTCTCTGAAGGTCAGTTAGGTATCTGCATGTGCACAAAGTAATTCTTGAAATAGTTGTGTCTTTTTATGTTGGGGTTTTACAGATTGTTCATATGGTTTGTCTGTCAGACCAAACTTGCTTTTTTTCTTGCTGGATTGGCAAGAGTAAAGGGTTCCACACAAGTTAACTTTAGGGCTGGGACCCACAGGCAGAAGTCAAAAGCAGTAGCCAAAGAATTTGCCCTTGGACTGATGGGGCTCTTTCTCTCTGTGCCGTGGGAAAGCTGTGGTCTCAACGCTGGACTTTTTTGGGGGTGTGCACCCACCTGCATGAACGTTTCCAGGCTGGGCAAAGAAGATGCAATGGGGAAGAGGAAGAAAAACTGTGTAGAATCCCTCCACACCTTCTTTGCAAATGTCACTGAGCTGTTTTTAGCGCTGGGTCCCTCTACTGGTCTGGCTGCAGCCCCACCCTCTGACCTCTGCCTGGCCCGGATGGCTGCAGAGGGAGTCCCATGTCTTGACCAATTTCTAAATCACAGTGTTTTCCTTTTTACTGTGATGTTTCCACTGGCGGTTGCGGGAAACTGACACCCTGAACCTTATGCTAGATCCAGAGCTCTGGTGCTGTTCTGTGATAGCAGTTTCTCTGGATCTTCAGCCACTTCCCCATGAAGCCTGTCCTACCTGACTGCTCTGCTGCTGACAACCTTAATTCTGAAATTTTGATTTGGTTTACAAAATCATAACTTGTTATCATAACAACACAGAAGGATTTGTTGTTGTTGTTAAGTACCGTGGAGTCAGTTCTGACTCATAGTGACCCTGCACAGCGTTTCTGAAGCTGTAAATCTTTACTGGAGCAGAACGCCTTATCTTTCTCCTGCAGAACCGCTGGGAATTTTGGACTGCTGACCTTGAGGTTGGCAACCCGACTTGTAACCACTACGCTACCAGAGTACTTTAAAAACAACTTCCTGTTGACAATTTTATGATTAAAGGAGACCACTTTTATTGCAGGACCAGTTTATTGGATTTGAAGCTACTTTAAAAATAAGTACACAGAAGAGTCAGCCAGGGGAACCAGATTATGCTACCCTAGTTCCAGTGTCCACTAGACAAATGCTGCCTCATCTTATTGCTTTACTCTCAGGCATCCTCAGATAGAGAAGGAGTCCTCAATATGTGCTGGCAAGATGGGTATGTTCAGAGAAAGAGAATAACATAGGAAAAATAGAAAAGCTTAAAAAAGAGAAGAGAGAAAAAGAAAAGGAAGAGTTAAAAACAAAGGTGAAATAAGCAACATACAAGGACAAAGGTCATGGATAGGGAAAAAAGAACATGAGAAAAGAATATTCATTTGTAAAGACTGGCTTTCTGTTTAACTTCTGGCTTAGTAAGGAGTCAGCTGCCCTGCTCCAACGTCACTGGATAGGTCAAATAATGGCAACTCCTAAGAATGAGCATTAGGGTGCTGATTTGCTCTGCCTAGGGTCTATTTGGATCCCTGACCTCCATACATTTTGTTGAGCAGGACAAAGCTTGGGAGCAGCATTTCCCTAGGGTAAAGGCTCAGAGAGGGCAGGGGTCATACTGTGGTGGAGTTCTTGCCTTCCATGCAGAAGACTTGAGGTTGATTTCCAACCAACACACCTACTGCACAGTCACTACATAGCACAGCTATGATTTTGAACAAGTTTCTATGGAGCTTCCAAAATCAGATGGCTTAGGACAAAGTCCTAATGATCTACTTCTAAAAAGGGGTCACAATAGTTCAACCCCCAACTGTTTGTGGAGGACCCAGCAGCAGTTTGTTCCGTTGTCCATAGGGTCATCATAAGTCAAGGGGTCAACCAACCACATAGACTCTAAGGCCTGGACCTCTCAAATGTGGACATAGATACCTCTGTGTGACCCAGCATTCGGCTACATAGTATCAGAATCACAGAATAAATACAGCACACCTTTCATAGAGCATCAATGCATTCAGTGGTAACATTTCAAAATACAATTCATTCAGACATGGATATATTATATAGTATTAATTTGGAATTTTTGAAAATCATTATTTAAGTAAAAATTCACAACTTCAGACAGAAAAGAAAAAGATATTCTGACCTTCTTGTGTTATGCTCCCATAGCTGAATGTGGGAGGCGATAACAAGGGTAGTTGTTACTTCTTAACCATTTTCTTGTTTTTATGGTAAAAGTTTGAGGGACATTACTTAAGTACATCAACGTGCTTCAGAATATTTTATACTTCTTAATGAATTAATAAAAAACATACTCAAATTACTTACCAGATTTTAAAATGCCAGTTCAATATTCTAGAGAAGATTGCATACATGGATTTATCACTAAAATCATTGATGGTTATAATATTGAAATGTCGCATGTATCGAGGAGTTATTGGATTTCGGCCACCACCTAAATATTAAAATAGTTAACTTTTAGTTACATCAGAGTAGTTTCCTTAATATTTTCCAATGTAAAACAACTGCTAAGTGCAAGGTTTCAAAAGGCAAGATGAGACATTATCTATCTCTATGTCTGTATTCAGCCCTTCTTTCCATAGAACATTCAGAAATGGTGGTATTTTTAGAAAATGGAACTCAAGAGGAAAGAATACCTCATAAATTCAACCTATTCCTCTTCCCAGTTCCAGAGAAGGCAAGTATAAATGACACATGAGTGCAAAAGACTGGCTTGGAGTGACAGAGAAAGGGCCAAGTAAAACTGAAGTTTAAGGCCCAGGAGCAATAGAGTTTTGGGTATAAGGAGGGAGGAAAGTGTTGTTCAGAGTGGCCTAGGGTACTCTCTAATAAAAGATTAAAAAAAAAAAAAGCACAGAATACCAGTTTAAAATCAGGACTAAATAATCTATTTAGTTGAATCAAGCCATTTTAGATACCCAAGTATAAAACTTATTTTCCCTACAGAGATTTCTTTGAACATGTAAGTTTCTCTTAGAAAATATAAAGGATCCTTAAGGGTTATTGCTTCAGCCATTTCCTACTTAAATCCCTGTCAGCAGTCTGTTGAAATGTAGACACTCACTAAAATGTAGACACTTGACTGGGGTGGAGGAAGATTGAGCTCTGAAGCAAGGATGTTTCATACAGTTGAAATATTAATGGATGAAGCAGAGGGGAGAATGTGGGGCTATGGAATTAGGGTATTTAGTGTACAGGAAATGGGGAACAATATTCCAGAAATTCAGGGAAAATGGATTTGGAAGGACTGGTGGAAGAATGACTCCAACCAAGGCCACACACTTTGTAGTGTTGACCACTTCTCACCAGTGATCCACTCATTCCTTTAGTTTACCACGTATACACACAAACAACATACACACAAAACATGCTAACTTAAATTGTGTATTTGGGTTTCCCTTTCTTTTTTCAGATATCTTTTTAGGTATAATTAGAGTGTTAATTTTTTTTTAATTACAAATTCAGAAAATGTACCTGGAGGTCCCATAGCACACATGATTTGAATGTCCACTAGTTTAATCATAGAACAATCTTTCAGGTCATACCAATTCCAGTGATCTAACCATTGCCTAAGTAACTCAATGGGTGGTTGAGCCCCATATACCTCCCGGGCAGGCATATTGACATCATCTACAAACACTACCTGAGAACGAAAAGAGGAGAGGTATTAAAAAATGTTGACCTCTTAGACTTGTGTCCGATTTGAAGTGTGTAAAAAATTAGACTGTCTTCTTAAAGAGTATGTCTGCAGTAAGTGGCTGACTCTTTTCCAATCACAAATAATGTCCATTAGCATCATTTACTAATAAGGCATTTACTTCATCTAGAACTAGGGAGACATTCTCGTTACTAATTTTTATAGATTTAATTTAGGACTCATTAATCCTGTCATATAATTTGTTTCTTAAAATACTTGATCTTTTTTTTCTTTGTACAACTCTAATATAGTGAATTAGATCTGAAAGATATGAAATTTACAATGATTATAACCTTTGAGTGGTAAGGGTGATATAACACAATTAATAATTGGGTTGTTTCAAGATTTACAAGAGCAAGTCCACTGGAGTGAATATGCATGCATACAGTGAGAGAATTAGGAAGGGAGATGAATTCCCAAGTGAGTATTCTATTTTCAATTCCAATGAAAAATATTTGTTTATAATGTATAGCGCAAGCACAAACGCAATTACAAATGTTAGGAAAATGTTTTAAATTTGTGTAAAAAGCCCCCCAAATATCCCAAATGTTGTGAAGTCCTTTGACTCTGGCATCCTGTATTTGGTTTCCTTGTTCTGATTGTAGCAGCATATGAATAACCCCAATGTTATAGTTCATGTATAGAAACAGACAACAATACCATTCTCTTGCCCAAAGGAGGTCCAAAAACTCCTTTTCTCCTTTTGTCCAATTTTGACATGATAATATTCTGAGTTTGAGCTGCCGTAGTTTGTGCTGAGAAGTTAATTAGCAGAGGCTTGTAGATTTCCTTATTGAGTTGATTTAGAAGAAAATTCTAAATAACAGGAAATAATAAAGTAAGCCATGGTTAGAATTATGTTTTGACATCTCAAAATAAACACTAAACAAACATCATGGCTGACAAACTTAAATTTAGCCTTAGAGTGTCATGCTGTTGTTGGGTGCCATCAGGTTAGTTGGGTGCCATTGGGATCCTTTGGATCACAAAATGAAACACTGCCTGGTCCTGCGCCATCGCTCAAGTTTAGTTACACCTGAGCCCATTGCTGCTTGTTGCTGCCACTGTGCTAATTTATCTCACTGGGTGGCTTCCTTTTGTTTTCTGACCTCTACTTTACCAAGCACAATGTCCTTCTCCAGGGATTGGTCCCTCCTGATAGTATATCTGAACAATGAGAGACACAGTCTTGCCATCATGTAAAAAGAGATTGAATCAAAGGTAATAACAGTTACCATGTCCATGGAGTGCGTTAATCTGCCCAGGCTCCATGCATGTGGCTTCTTCAATAGTCACAAGAATCACACAGAGTGTATATTCCTTTTTAGTGTGAACACACTGAGACTCAGCGGTTAAAGGTATTTCGGAGATGGAGCAGGAATTCAGACTAGTATCTGTCTCGCTCTCTAGTCAATATGCTTTTCAATATACCTTTTTTTCCCCACCTATATACCAACTCATCTGACTCTAAGAAGCTTAAATAATATAATCACATTTTCACACTGGAAGTCACTGAAAAGCAGATACAGTTACAATAGTTCTTAAGATGTTGTGGGACAGGATAAGGAGTATCAGAATTTCTTGAGGAGCTCTTCAAAATAGTCTTCTCTCTCTTCTCCATTCCATTTCTATAAGGATGCCTGGTTGTGCTGTGGGATAGGCATTGGGCTGCTAACCAAAAGGTCAGTTGTTCAAACCCAACACCTACTAATCACAGAAAGATGAAGCTCTCTGCTCCAGAAAAGACTGACAGTCTCAGAAACCATATAGAGGGTCACTATGAGTTGGAATCAACTCAATGGCAGTGAGTTTGATTGTTTTTTAGTGTTTTTATTTTAGTATTTTGAGACTCTTTAAGGAATATACCCTGGTGGTGTAGCAGGTTAAGCATTGGGCTGCAAACTGAAAGGCTGGCTATTAGAACCCACTAGCTGCTCCTCAAAAGGATGAGACAGTCGACTTCTGTAAAGACTTATCTCAGAAACCTTATGAGGCAGTCCTACTCTATCCTGTAGGACCACCATGAGGCAGAATCAGTCAATGGCAGTGGGTTTGATTCTGCAATCTTCATGGGAGCAGACTGCAAGGTCTTCCTCCGATAGAACTACTATTGGTTCTGAATCACCAACCTTACAAGTATCAGTAGAGCGCTTAGCCATTGTACCACAGAAGAAAACACAGATCAGAGATACTGGATTAAAGACTAATTTTCACTCTTTCACCAACTCAGCAGGAACTACTTTTCGACTTAAAATTATTTTCTCTTGCATGGAAAAAACACATTCTAAAAATGTATGAAGAGTTTCTGCTTGAACTCCAAATTAACAACTAGAATTGCAAAAGTTGTTGCTGTTGTTATGTGCCATGGAGTCGATTCTAACCCATAGTGACTCTGTATAGGGTTTTCAAGGAGCAGCTGGTAAGCTTGAACCACCAATCTTGCAGTTCAAATGACTTTGCAGTCTGACGCATTATCCCACAGTGCCACATCAAGAATCCAGCCAAAGTAGGAGTAGGCAAGTTTAGAATAAAAGTAGGAATATTTTTCATGATTTTTGTCAATAAAATGCCTCCTTTCATAATTTTATCATTAAAATATAAGTGAGAAAATATTATTTAAATAGAAAAATAGTTGAAAACAAGCTATTATGTATATTTGAGGAAACAGTATCTGTTTTAAGTATTCTATACTAAAGGAGTCTTATGACACATCTAACTAAAGTAAATTAAATCAAAATTTTT